CAGAACATGCATTCTCACATAGCCCACATAGCTGAGGCCGAGCACTCACTGTTTCTTTCAGGTTATTAATACTTTGATTTGCCATAGTCTTCACCACTCCCTACACCCCAATCCCTAAACCCCATATTAGTTAATGTTGAAGTCACCATACTGGTATTATTGATGTTCCTACACCTAGCCTTACTTCAGCCTGTTACATGCCTTGTTCATTTTTGCCTGAGATTTTTAATTCTTTTTCCAAGGCAGCAGAGGGCGCTATGGGAGCACAGAGGAGAAGCACTCAAGGCACCAGCTGGTTTGCCTAAAACAACAGGTTTCTCAAAAGTCTGAGAAAGAAGGAAATGATCTGCTGCTAGTTGTCTGTGCTTCCTCCACTCACTTACACAATAATCTCTTGTTAGAGATTGAACTTGATGTTTAGGTTAGATTAGAGATACAATCTTACATTTTGGTTTTCCTAATCGGTTTGTACTGTACATGATTAATTCAAGTTTGCCCAGCAGGTAGCATCAATGTCTGGCACATAGTAGATTCTTAATCAGAGTTTGTTGGATGAATGTTTAAAAATAGAGCTAATAGCAAATCCTTTGTTTACTGAGCTCCTTCTTCCTAGATGGTTGGGCATTGTCTTAAATGCTTTACATCTATACCTCAGTTCTTCATTCAAAACACAATGAATTATCCTGGAAAAGGTGAAACCACAGTGCTTCTTGGAGGTGAGGATGGTGAAACTCCATCTCACGTTCTTTGGGCCTGTTGCTTGGAGGGACCAATCTTGAATAAACACATCATGCTGGGAAAGGCGAAGGGTCAACATAAGAGAGGAAGACTCTCAATAAGATAGACTGACATGGTGGCAATAACATTGGGTTCAAGTGTGTCAGAGACGGTGAGGACAGTACAGGCTAGTCCAAGGCTGAGAGCTGCTGGTCATAAAGTCACTATGAGTTGCAGTCAATTTGACAGCATCTAACAACAACAAAGAGGAGCTCTGTTGACCTAGCCTCTCAGGAATTGCTCCACTACCTCAAAGGCTATGCTCCTTTGGCAGTTTGAATTCACTCATTGTCCTGTGCGAGAAAGATGGATAATCTCCTCCTGTACTATTTCCAGCCTCCAAAATCCAATGGAGGGTCCCCTGTGAGTTAGTTCTGATGGCAGTGAGTGAATGTGAATGTGTTCTTTTCCAATTTTACTAATAAAGAAGTGAAGCACAGAGAGGATAAGCAACGTGCTATGGTCATACAGCCAGTCTGAACTGTTCAATATGCACCGTCCTAGCAACACAAGGCAGAGTGTGCTCAGGACCAGGGCATAGCACACAGAGGGCTGTCACGGGCAGATGGTTGACAAGTCAAGTAGAAGTCAAGGCAATGAGAAAAAGTAGTAAGGAAAGACTGAAGGAAGGATGGGTAGAAGTGGAAGGAGAAACATCTTCTTTGGCGGAAGGGAAGATAATGAAGAGGAGGGGTAAGAAGGTAGGGAAGGTGCACACAGTAGAGCTTCCATATACATTTCCTGCTGTGAGGGGTAAGGGTGCCTGTAAGCGTGTGAAATCATCCAGCAAGCAGGAGCGTCTTCAATGTGCTGTGGGCTGTGGGGGGGACACAAACATTAATAAGACCCTCCCTACAAAGTCCCTGCCAGGGAATTTCTATGGCATACTCCATAGAGAATTGTGCTGCTAACCCAAAGGCAGACCCTCTTTGATGGTTCGAATCCACCAACTACTCCGAGTGAGAAAAGTGGACAGTCTCCTCCCATGCAATTTATAGCTTCCCAAATCTCATTGGAGGGTCAGCAATGAGTCAGTTCTGACAGAATGGCAATGAGTTTTTGAGACTAAGTCTCTGAGGAGTCCAAGTATTTATGATACTGGATTGCTCATATAAAGACTGGAATTGTGTGTCTATCCAGAGGCACTTCAGAAGAAATGCCTGGCAATCCGCCTTCATAATCAATGAATACGAACTTCATAGGCCAACCAATATAAATGAATTAAAAAAAAACACCCCCCCCAAAAAAACACCCGATCCTGCAGCATTATAAAAAAAAACAATCAGCCACTGAAAATACAACAGAGCACGTCCTACTCTGAATCATCACGAGCCAGCAGATTCAAGGACAGCTGCTGTGTGGTGATGATTAGTGTGTGTCTACAGGTAATTACTAGACACAGGCAAGGCATGTAAATAACTACTCCAGGAACAGAAGTGCTGAGAGCCATCAGTAGTATGGGGAGAAAAAGGGGGGGAAAACACCAGTGAATACAGAGGAGGGAAAGATGATTCCATGGAAAAAAGAAAGAGAGCCGGCTTCCTGGACCACAGAGCCTTTGAACTGAGTTCAGAAGGGTGAGTCAGGTTTGACCCTGTGAGGCAAGGGAGGGCAGTCCTTGGAGGTGTCAAGACATGAGGTGGGCCCTGTGCACCCACAGTAGAGGGTGAAAGGAATTGGCCAGGCAAGGCTAGCCCATTCCCAGAGGTCTGTGCCAGCTGTCCAGTCATCTCAGACCTCTCTCATGGGCAACAGGAAGTCAGTGAGGGTTTGTAGCACAGGAAGGAACTATGTTGCCCACCAAGAGGCTACATAACGAGCCTTCTAACTAGATCATAAGATCTTTTTGACAGTAAGACTCCACCTTGATGACAAGATTCAGAAGAGCACTGCTGAAACTAGAAAGATACTTTATCTAAGAACCTGTAAGTTATTTATAATTATTGTGTACCGTAGAGTCAGAATCCACTCATCACTGAGCCTCCAATGGGTAGTAATTTGCACGGGAAGACATTGTCCATGTTTCTTCTGTGGAGCTGCTGGTGGATTTGAATTGCATGACTTTGAGTTAGCAGTGCAACTCCTGACCACTAAGCCACCAGAGCTCCCCTCTCGAAAGCCTGTAAGAAGAGGTATCACCCTTAACTCTCCCATTGTCACTGAGTTGAAACTGCCTCACAGTTGACCTTCCATTGGGTTTCCTAAGCTATAAGTTGCATAGGAAGATATTTTCCATCTTTCTCCAGTTGCTTTCAAAGATACCCGGTAAACATCCATGTTCACTCTGAATTTAAAAAAAAATAAATGAAGATGATCAGAGTGACTTGTGGATATGAACAACCAGAGGTTCAGCCTTTAGATTAACAGTAAAACTCCCTACATTTATGACACAACTCTGCTTGTGGAAACTGAGGAAGACCTGACGTACTTGCTGCAGAAGGTCAAGGAATACAGCCTTCAATATGGATTGTAGTTCAAAATCAAGAAAACAAAGATTTTTCACCACTGGTCCAATTGCTAGCATCATGATAGGTGGTGAAGAGATTGAGATTGTTAACAGCTTCAGTTTGCTTGGCTCTACAACCAACACTCTTGGTACAAGAGCCAGGAAATCAAAAGATTAATTGCATTGGGAAATTCTGCTGTCAGTGACCTCACCAGAGTGCTGAAGAACAAGGATGTCAGCCTAGAGACTAAGGTGCCCCTGATCTAAGTCATGGGCTTCACAATTACTTGCTATACATCAGAGACAATGACTAGGGATGATAAAAGGAGACTTGATGCTTTTGAGCTGTGGTGCTGGAGAAAAATATTGAATATACCATGGACTGCTAGAAGAACAAACCAGGCTGCTCCTTGAAGGCAAGGATTCTGAAGCTTCATCTGACATACTTTGGGCATGTTGCAAGGAGGGACCAGTCCTTGGAAAGGGATGTCATGCTTGGGAGGGTGGAGGGACAGCACAAGAGAGGAAGACCCTAGATGAGTTGGATTGATTCAGTGACTGGGGTAATAGATGTGTCAGAGACAATAATATTGGCTCAGGGTAGAGTAGAGTTCAGAGCTGTTGTACATAGGATCGCTGTGAGTCGCAGACAACTTGATGGCACATAACAACAGCAATGCCACCAAAGTTCTTTCATCTTTAAGTAGGAACTAGGATATGTGAGCCCTGTTCCTTCTATGTTTCCTTGGTCAGGTCCCTTTCTGGATATCGGTTCCTTAATTTTCAAAGAAGGGGGCTGATCTCTCTGAAGGTCTATCTAATAATGGCTGATACCCTAGGACTTCCAGCTAACCCCTCATTCTCCTACCACTTTTCACTTTTTATACTTAACACCGTGCTGAGCAAACAGCAGGGATTTCTTTATTGACAGAGTGGCAGGACAAGGCTACCACAGGGGGAACACAGAGGGCTGCAGGTGGGACAGTGCCCCATACCCTCAGCAGGCATGGGGAAGGGCAGAGTGAGGGGTGGCCAGAGGAGAGGGAGGCTTGCTCACTGGCTTGCCCGCAGAGGCTGGGGGGGCTTGAGATAGAAGGAAGTGAACCAATTAGCTTCCTCCCAAACCAGCTCTAGACTCAGTGCTGGAAATTTCACAAAAAAGCAAAAGAAGCTCTGTGGACACTTCCTGCCCCACCCCAGGCCCCAGCCTGCCTTCCTGGCAGTGACAGCCTCCCTCCAGTTACCACACTGCTCACCTGTTGAAGCAATTGTCCCTGAAGGAAAGAGGAGTATCCTGGTCAGGGGATGCCTATAAATGCAGAACCTGCACTCCTGCATCAAACTCCTCTGTAGCTCTTTGGTGTGGTAAGTGAGCTGCCCACAGGCCCGACCCAGGAGCCTGCTGCCGTTTGTTTTTTTCTTCCTTCACCCAATGCCTTCTTAATTGCTCTTCTTGGAAGCCCTCCTTGATTGACCCCAACCACTTTAAATGTTCTTCACATTTCTTATATCATGTTCTGCTAGATCCTTCTGTCCTCAGATTCTTTCCTTTTTTGTCTTTCTCTGTGAATTCCAAAAAGAATTCAGAGTCATCTCCTGGTTAAGTTGCAAGCTGTGGCATGTGTGTGTGTGTGTGTGCGCGCGTGCGTATGTGTGTTAGCCCCTTCTTTCCTGACAATAGCCTATCATAAGTACCCAGGAGGTTGGCAGCCCTTACATTTAAGCACATCCCTCTTTTCTTCTCAATTATTCAGAGTATAAGAAGACAGCAGGCAAAATGTCGCAGCTGGAACGTAATGTAGAGACCATCATCAACATCTTCCACCAGTATTCGACCCGACTGGGACACCCAGACACCCTGAATCAGAGCGAATTCAAACAGTTGGTGAATAAGGAGCTGGCAAACTTCCTCAAGGTAGGGTTCAAATCCTGACAGGCCTGGCCCAGTCTCAAGACAGATTGGACTGGAAAATTAAAAGAAAAAAAAAAGAAAGATGCGGGGGGTGTGGGGTCTGCAGCGGACGTGGAGGAAATTCTAGCTCCTTCGGTGAGGTAGTGAGTATCCTGTCCCTAGAGGCATTCAAAGGAAAGCCAAACCCTTAGAGGCAAGGAGGACAGCTTTCACATGTGCTATGTGTCTGGCCTTGTTGTGGGCAGGGAAACATAGTGTCAGACACAACATAAGCCCTACTCTACAGGAATCCACTACCTTAACCCAGAGAGATGCACAACAAAGCTAAAACTTAATGATGAAAAGTGCATCTAAGAAAAGAAGAGAGTATTCCAGATGATTCAGAATGGACAAAGCAGAGGTGGTGTAGAGTGGACAAGAAGCTGAACCAAAACTGTAAAAGTGACCCCTGACAGGAGGTCGAGAGGACTCCAAATTTCAGATGGCACTTGAAAGAGAAGCAAGGGAAGGCTTTTGTAATCCCAAACTAATTAAACTAACTCTTTGCCATACAGTCTGAACCAATTCCTAGCAGACCATCCAACAGGTTTCTGGAGGCTGTAAATCACATGGGAGAAGACTGCTTCTTTCTCCCATGGAGCAGCTGGTGGATTCATGGAACTGTATTTACAACTCCTTTCCTACAAAGCCTCTAGAACTCTCTATGTAGGCCAGAGTAGACAAGAGGGCATGTTTAGGAAGCCCCTTGTCCCTGAAACTTACTAGGCCAGGTTCTCTAGTGTAGGACACTAAACCTGCTTCTCCCACCCACTGCCTCCAGCCCTACAGAGCAAAGTGATATTTCAGGGAGAGTAGTGGGGACTTTCTAGTTGAATAGTTCAGGAATTAGTTCTAATTTTGCCAAATAAAAAACAAATCCAGTACAATGAAGTATTGCATGAGTAGGAAGAGGCCTGGAAGACCACCCAGTATCCTTATAGCTTATGAGTGAGGGAATTAAGCCCAAAGGTGACAAGGGGCTTACCAAAGGTACTGGAACTAGAACCTGGTTCTTCTAATGTCATCTCTTTCCGACCAACCTTGGTTTGTTTTACCTTATCTCTCATCTCCTCTTGGGTTACTGTATTAGCCCCCTTAAAGTCAGGAAAATATCCAAATTGCTCTCTACCTCTACCCCAAATCCGGCTTCCATCTTGTTTCCTAAAGTGTTTGCCTGCTATGTAAATGAAAGAGTTTCACTAATTAATTATCGCAGAAGAATAAAAAAGAATAAGGAATAAAAAAGGAAGACTGAAGATGTGAGATAAGACCAGCCATACAGTCAAATCTTAGTTTGAATTTCCATTCTTCTGTTTCCACGTTTTGTCAACATGAAGCTGTTAGTCTTTCTAATATGTGATTTTTTCCTCAAATCTTATTCAAGGAAAATACAAATTCAAGCTCTTAACATTGTGTTGGGGACCCAGGGAAATGTCCCTTTGGTCATATGAACTTAGTCTAGTCACTACCTTCAGCATTCTCCTCTATAAATGGAACAAAATCTAAGCTATAGGATTGTGGGGTAAATAAACTAAGAAGTGCTTAACACATGCTTAACATCCGAAGCATCAGGAGGTCTCTGCCCACATTTTTAGTATTTAAATTGTTCCCCAGGGGCCAGTCTTCCTTGTTCATAGGCTAGCTGTCATTTGCTGTTCTGCTTTGTCCATGCCCTGCTTTGACTATCCTTTCTGTCCACCCACAGAAGGAGAACCGGAATGAGAGAGTCATCAGTGATATCATGGAGGACCTAGACACCAATGGAGACCAACAGTTGAACTTCGAGGAGTACATTATCTTGGTGGCGCGACTGACAAACGCCTCCCATGAAGAGATGCACAAGAATGTCCCACCCGGAACAGGCCACAGCCACGGGCCAGGCCTCGGCGAGGGAGGTGCGTGCCCAGGCCAGAGGCAGGATCCAGGGCGTAGCCACGGCCACGGCCACGGCCACAGCCATGGCCACGGCCACGCTCACTAATCAGGAAGTGAGAGAACCCTTCCCTGGCAACAGCTAGGGCTCTGCTTTATTGGGAAAGGGGAAACGGCTTCATCCTCACAGTATTGTTATGTCATACAACCTTCACTTTGGATCTGAGCCTGGGGGGTAAACAATAAAGTCTTCTTCCAAACCAGTGTTCCGTGTGCTGCTTCTACCATCCCTTCCTGACCTGTTCTACCGAGGGGTCTGAACATTGTGTCTTTGTTATAGCCCAACTACTGTATGCAACAGTAAAGAAATGGCAGACAGAGAAATGTAAGTTCATTGGGGGCTCACTTTTTTGATAATTTCTCTTCTCTGACTGTAGATACACTGCTCAAATCCTGGTCACCCCTCCAGCTCAGGACCTACCTGGTCTAGCTTGCCAAGTTAGTCCTTAGCACTACAGAGGGCAAAAAGCAATTAGAGCTGTGATCCCCTCTTCACCCAGTCCTATACACACGGCCATACCTTTCTCCTGCAATTTTCTGGAATTTGTCCCAAGCAGTGCTATGTCTGGAGAAGAACATAAGCACAGAAGAGTGTTCAGAGTTTGCTGAACTCTGCTACCAAAAGACCGATTCCTGGAAATGCTCTCATGGCCTGTAATACAAGCCCTTAAATCCTTGTACCCACAGCAGAGCCCTCTGAGCTGAGGTCAATTGCAAGCAAGTTGAGACCTGATGATAACCAGGAGCTGGGGAGAAGAACGCTCCTTGGAAGTCAGGATGGTGAAACTTTGTCTCACAGCCTTTGGGGGCCAGACCTTGGAGAAGGACTTCCTCCTTGGGCCTGTACAGGGATGAAAAAGAGAAAGACCCTCAAAGCTATGAAGTGGCACAACGGTTATAACAATGGGCTGCCACACAGCAATGCTTGTACAGACAGTGCAAGGCGGAACAATGTTTAGTTCTCCTGTACATGGGATTGCTGTTAGCTAGAAGTGAACTAGCAAGAAGTCTTTTTCCCAGATGCCAAGATTTTGTTCTTCTAGAGTCTTTTTTTTTCTGTTTGAAAGATGGACAGGGTAGAGAATTCTTATTTGGGCTCTGGTCTCTGCAAAGCCGTTACCTGCATGGTTGTTACCTGAGAAGGGATTTTTATGGCACTACCTCCCCTCAGACCAGTGGACATGGAGAGATGACAGAGTTGTCACCAGATGCTCTTGAGAAAGCCCAGAATAGAGAAAAGCAGTATTCCCAGGGATAGGGGCATCAGGCTGGCTGAGTCTGCAATGATGACAAGAGCTTTCTCTGTCTTGAGCGCTCACCTACAGACCACATAGTGGAAGAACATCAGGTAACTTGACACCTGAAGTCACTCACTTCCTGGCACCCCACTACCTCTACATTCTTGGCCACCACCATCTTTATATCAATGCAGTTTTAAAGACTAGAATACACTTTGTCCAAGTTGTGGTCTTTTCAATTGCTTCCTATGCAACTAAAAGTTGAACAATGCTTAAGGAAGATCGAAGAAGAATCAATGCCTTTTAACTGCAGTGTTGACAAAGCATATCCAATATACTATGATCTGCCAAAAGAACAACAAAACTGTCCTGGAGAAGGTACAAGCAGGGTGCTCAGAGATGAGAATCGGCAGAAAAAGGGTGGACAGTGTCCTGCTGTGTGATTTATTGTCTCTGGATAGTGACATTTAATCTTAAAAGTAAGAATAGTGAAAATTAGTTTCATAGTTTGAACATGTCAGGAGGGGCCTGAAACGAAAAAACTCATTATTCTAGTGTCGGAGCCAATTCCTCGATGACCCTCCAGTGGGTTTTCTGAGGGTCTAAATCACATGGGAGATTGTCCATCTTTTTCCCAAGGAGCTGCTGATGGATTCAAACTGGTCACCTTTAGGTTAGCAGTGTAACAGATTCTGCCACAAGAGCTCCTTCAGGAGGAGCTAGTCTCTAGAAAAGCCATCAGGCTGGAGCAGGTAGAGAGTAAACGTGAGAGAGGAAGAGCCTCAACAAAATGCTTGGACACAGTGGCTATAACAATGGGCTCACACATGTTGGAGTTGGTGAGAATGGTGCCGGAGAGGGCAAAGTTTGTGTCTATTGTTTGTAAGGTCAGAGTAGGAGTCAGAGTCAACTTGACAGCACTGTAACAACAAACAATAATGCCATTTGATGCAACATCAAGGGAACCAACTTGGGAGCTGAGAGGCCTGGATTCTAGTACTAGCTTTGCCAGGATGTGCTCCCCTGTCTCCCCTCAGCCAACAACTATTTATCACTATGTGCTAGAAATTGTCTGCATATGACTCTGCCGTAAGGTCCACAAAGGCAAAGTCCATGGCCTCTATCTGGTTCCCAGCACCTGGAATAGTGTAGATACATGGTAGGTCCTCGACAAATATTGAACATAGAAATATTTTGCAATTTCCTGTGTGTTCTGTACTCTTTCTCAGGGAAAGGTATGGAAAAGGAGAAAGCAAGAAATAGAAATCAGTAATTAAAAGATTTCTGGATTAGCATAATAGACTTCCAAACAGGAGAGTAGTTGTCTCTGTTCTTGTGTGTTGTCAGTCAGAACTGACCCAGAGCTGACCATTCAGCGGATTTTTAGAGACGGTAAATCACACAGAAGCAGATTGTCCATCCTTCTTTCACAGAGCAGCTAGTGGATTCAAACCACATGCCTTTGGGATTGCAGTGCAGCTTCAGCATCAGGCCACCAGAGCTCCCTAACAGGAAGGAGAAGGCAGAACATTTGTAGGAATCTGAAGTCCTCTCCTAGACTTTGTTTAGTCAGACTAGTTCTGCTGTCATCTGTAACACTCTTGAAGCTTCCATCTGAAGAAAGAACTAGGTCCTGGAAAAAGTCTGAAAATTGTTAATTTAACCCACCCTGTTCCAATTCCATCCTTGAGTCATTCTCCCAAGTACCCCTGCCAAGTCCTACTCTACCCCTCACACCAGAATAAACAAATTCTTTCATATCTTTCCCCTACCCATTGATCCACCCATATATCTGTCCACTTGTTCAAAACACTTATTTTAAATTACCTTGAAGCATTCTCCAATCACTATGCCTTTGTATAAGGAATGGTCTTCTCAGTCTTAGTGTCTGTAGTAAGTTCTTTGTGATCTACTAAGGCACCACTTCCACAAGGTCTTCCTCGGTCACTCGTCCTTGTCAAGAATATAGTAATCACTTTCTGCAGGCTGCCTGGAGCTCTCATGTTTCTACTAGTGCACTTCAAATGCAGGGTAATAAGCCCTTGCCTGCTCACTTGACTGTGTGTTCCTGAAGGTAGGAAAAATGCCTGATTCTCGTTCTCAGGGGATTGCATGGCAAGAGGTCTCAGTGAGTACTCATGGATGAATAAGTGAATTAAGATTGATCCTAGGATCCTGTGGAGTTGGAGGCTGGAGTGGAGCAGAAATAGGTCCTCTGGTTCTCTGCAGGGTTGACAGTGTGTAACGTGAGGTTGGCTTTGAGGAATGGACAGTTTGCCACTGTCTTGTGACCTAAAGTCAGGAAAGGGTAGAACAGCCAAGCAGTAAGATGGTGGGGGATATAAACGTTGTTGTTGTTGTTGTTGTTGTTTTTAGGTGCCACTGAATTAAGTATGGCTCATAGTGACCTTATGAACACGAGACCTGAAACCGATCCTATCCTGTGCCATCTGCATGATCTCCAACACACTTCAGCCCTACAGTCCCTGGTCAATCCATCCCACTGGAGGTCTTCCTCTCTTTCACTGACCCTCCATCTTTCCAAGCATGATGCACCTCTCCAAGAAATATGTCCAAAGTACAGGAAACAATGTTTTTGTCATCTTTGTCTCCAAGGACCTTCTTAGATGCAGACAATTTTCTCTTTTGTCTTATCTTCTTTCAACTCAACCTGGTTGTAGGGAGAGTTGTTCTAGATCCCATGATAAGATTTGCCAGGAAGCCACTTCTGTGAGACCTAATGAAATTTTCCTTAGATATAATTTAACAGTCCCTTTGAGAACTGTAGGCATCCAAGGATGAGCATGAAGATGCTTAAAATAAAAAAAGAGATTGTGTGGTCCTGGAAGCGGGCAGGTGATGTTTTGACCAGAAATGGGGAATATTTGGGAATGTGAGGAGGAGGGCGAGTGCAACAGAGAGCCAGGAAGTACCTAGATATCCAGAAACTTCCATTATATTCATTAGAACTCCATTCTGTTAATCCTTTCTAGTCAAAAACACCGGTTCAACAGAGCAGCAAACACTAACTGCATGTGAGGTCGTGGAGAGATCATAACCCTTATTTACTGCTGGTGGGAGTGTAAAATGGGGCAACCACTATGAAAGGTGGTTTGACAATTTCTCAGAAAGTTGGGAATAGAAATGCATTTCACGTAACAATACCACTACTGGCAATATATCCTAAAGAAACCAGACCAGCCATACAAACAGATATATGCACACCCATGTTTATTGCTGTGTTATTTATAACAGCAAAGAGATGGAAGCAACCCAAGTGCCCATCAACAAATGAATGAATAGAAAAACTATGGTATAGTCATACCGTAGAATACTATGCAGCACTGAAAAACAAGGAACTTGTAAAACTTTTACACAATGTGGGAGACCCTGGAAGACATCATGCTGAGTGAAATACCCAGTCACAAAAGGACAAATACTGCATATCACCACTGTTATAAAGCAGGTATGATGTGGAGGATTGGGAGGATAAGAGTGTATAGTTAATGACCATTGCATTGGTACAGACGAAGAAAGTAACTGTTTAAAAGAAACACATGATTAGTTGTTATACGTACGACAGCATCCAAGAATAAAAGGTATATCATTGAAAAGAGGACTGAGAGGAAAGGAGGAGGAGGTAGGTAATTTAATTGTGTGATAATGAATGGATATTTTAAAAAGTGAACTGAGGGAGGGAAAAGGAAGGGAGAGAGAGTAAAATGTGCAACAATGAATGAATAAAAGTCTAACTTTTCTGTAAACATTCATTAAAATTTTATTTAAAAAAACACCAGTTCCGTTCAGTTCC